CACTGTGGCCCACGTCCTCCTCATCAGGCCCCACTTAGCTCCCCACAACATGTCCCTCTCACCCTCCCAGCAGCCCACACCTGTGCCCTCTGCAATGGTGCAGTGGGGGCTTGCCTTGCCAGGCTGTGGTGAGGAAGACAGGGCAAAGCTGGTGCTCTGCTCCCTGCTCGGTGCCTGTCCTCCCACTGAGAGGCCCTCTCCCAACACCCTCAGTGTGGAAGGGCAATACAGGGATAGGTCTGCTTTGGCTCTTTCCACTCCTTCCTGGAGGACATAGAAGCCCTCCTGGCTCAGGCAAGATATTTAAGTTGTTGGCTTACTTTTCATCTTGTTGGCTCGTGACTGCCTGGTGGCTCCACTCTTTCAGGCCAGCTGTCCCTAAAGGCCAGCCTCTTGGCCACAGAACCCCATCTCTCCAGGGCTTACCTCCATCTGCACACAACTCCACACTGGGGGAGGTGGGGTGTCTCAAGGGATTCTGCTAGGAGAGGGAAGCCTGGTTGGGATCCCTGGCACACCTCCTGGTTGCATTCCCATGGCTTGTGGGTAGGCAGAGCAAGGCCAAGGGCCTACCCTTGGGAGAGGTAGGGATCAGACCTTTTACAGAGGAAGGGAAGGGGGTGATGCTTCCCACCCTGCAAACAAAGTCCAGCCCCACGCTGTGGTACATGAATGAGTCAGCGGTGAATGAATCAACAGAGGCACTTGAGCCAGTCAGACCCTTCCCAGAAAGTGTGCCTTTCAGCACCAGTTACCATGAAAAGGCCAAGCAAGATGCCAGGTACAACAAGTGTCCACAAATGCAAAATGCCACCCTTCGAGCCTGTAAGCGCTGGTTTAAGATGTCCTTTAGCAGTGTCTGTGTTTCCCTTCTGGTTTTCCATGGACTTGCTACCTGATTCCTCCTATCTTCTGTCCTTTATAAAATAAATGGTGTTGTATTAAAAAATGAACCAGATGGGAGATAGGGATCCAAACCATGTGTTGGAATGTGCAGTGCAAATCAGACCTACTCTCACGAGTGGGTTTGTCAGCGTCTGTGTTCCAGGAGGTGCTGGGACAAGAAGGCCTTCCGCAGGCTGTACTGCTGTCCAGGGAGAGGGGCCTCTGCCGCCTCAGATTTCTACTGCTGACAGGCCCAGACTCTTGGGAAGTGTGTGCCTTTAGTGTAGTTGTCTGTCCCCTCTTTTATCTGATGTGCTTCTGTTGCCAGTCACCTACCCTCCACCTCCTGTGAGGCTCTTCTGTGGCCATAAGAGGGGCCAGGTCCCTCCCTATTCTACCTTCGCCCAGGGAGGAAGGCCTGAGCTGCCTTTCCTTTCCCTCTGCCACAAACCAGGAAGTGCTCAGAGTAAACCTGCCACATTCATACCTCAGGCCCCTACCAGAGTGAGCACCTGTCCCAGAGACCAGAGAGGTAGATGGTTAGTGTTGAAAGCCCAGCCTCAGCAGCAGGGGAGAGGGTGAGACAGGAGAAACAGGGTGTGCGGCTTGGCCAGCACAGCCCAGCTCCCTCTGGAACCACCCGGTGGACATCCCAGCTGTTCCACGCAGGGCTTGGGATGAAATCTCCAATGCATGACTCCTAGGTCACTGCCTAGTTTCAACAAGCAGGTAACAGCTTTTGCCCCCACACAAGAGTGAGCCCTTTGCCCAGCCTCCCACCCTGAGTTCTGGGTGGGCTAGCAGTGCCAGGCTACCCCACGTAGTCAGTTAGTCCAGATGACCATATTGTTGGCTCTTCTGGAGGTTTTCTCCACATGTTCATTGGCTCAATTTGGCACATGCCTCTAACCCCCCAAAATAGATAATACCTGAATTTGGGAGCAGGAGTTTGAAATTGCTCTCTGTGGGGGCCCTACCCTCCATACCCCTCACCATCTGTCAAGTCTACTATGCCTCTCTAGCCCACCCTGCTTAGGGCCAAGTGGGGTCTGTCTCAGGAAATGCCTTCTCAGTTCCTGTTTTTGTAGGAAGAGAGGGGAGCAGGCTGTTGCCTGGCCAGGTGAGCCACTTTCGGCAAGCACTGCTCAGACTTCAGTGTTGATGCCTTGCAGTGACTGCCTTTTAGGAAAGCGAGCACCAGTCATCCTCCCTGCAGCCACCTTCCCCTAAACTGGGACTCAGCATGTCCACACCTGGAGATTGGAAGAGCCTTCTGTTTTCTGTGAGCAGAATTGTCTTGCACCTTCCCTGTATAGTTGAACGTGGAAATTTCCAGGGTAAGAGGCTAACAGAAAGACTAGGGGGACTAGGATTCCCCAGATGTGGCGGTCCAGCCGTCACAACACGAACGTACCTGAGTTGGGGAGTGAGGACTGAGAAAGGACAGCACACTCAATAGTGTGGAGACAAGAGGTCCGATTTATTTCACAGAAACAGCTCCTTTTAATGGCGTGCCAACAGGAAGCACCAAGCAACTATTAGGGAGGAGATCAGATCTTTGGCTATCTGAGTTCCTCCCATCACAAGGTCAAACTTAACAAAGTCCTTGAGCTGGGCGTGGTGGTGCACGCCCATAATCCCATAAACCCAGTCTGGATTACACAGTGAGCTCCAGGTCAATCTCATCTGCATAGCTGAGACCCTGTCTCAGAAAGCCAAATAGAGTCATAGATTGTGTCAATGCCTCAATGGTAGAAGTTACTTTTCCAATGTCAAGTGCCAGCGGGCTCCCACATGGCCCAGACAGACCTCTGCAGAGCCTGTGCCATTCAAAATGGGTGGCAGAAAGCCCTTCTCAATCTGGAGGCATCACCTACTCTGCCCGGTTTGTGTCTGGGCACTGGGGACCCAGAGCCGAAGCAAACCTGGTCTCTGCCGGTGCATACGTCTAGCCACAGACTCGCCCCCAGCCCCCAGCCCGCTACGGGACTGACCCTGAGTTGTCTCTGTGAGGGTTAGAGGAGGACAACAAGCCAGGAGGACTTCAAAGAGGAGATGATGTCACAACTGGGCCTGGGAGGACACAGAAGAGTTGGCTGGGTAGTGGATGTAGATGGGCATTGGCAGAGACTCAGGCATGGAACTGGTGGATTGATTCCTGGTTAGGGAGAACATTGATCTCCAACTTGATCCGAGTCATGAGAGGCTTTGCACAGGAAGCAGTGGAGAAAGGAATCAATAAAATCCAAGGTTGTGTCAGGCATAGTGGTGCATGCCTGTAATCCCAGCACTCGGGAGGCTGAGACAGGAGGATAGCTATGAATTCAAGGCCATCCTGGACTATATAATAAATTCAAGGCCAGAACTACAAAGACTGTATCAAGAAAAAAGGCAAGAAAGACATCCAAGGTCATTCTGGACCCTCTCAATTGACTGGCTGGAGCAGGGTGGGAACTGTGTCCTTTCTAAGGAGTGAGACCTGGGAGCAGTGGGTCATGAGATCTCTAAAAGGAATGTGGTCCTGGGCTCCCTCTCACATCTGGTTCAGAGAGGCTGGTGCAGGTGGTGCAGGTTTCCCTCCATAGGCCCAAGGGGTTCCTTTCTTCAGGGCTGTGGTTGTGGTGAGGGCCAACTCTGAGCTACCTCCAGCTGTGTGACTCCTAAGAGTCACTCCCTGTCTCTGACCTCTGGTGTTTATGGCATAGCTGTGGGAGGCTGTGATGCAGACCTCCTGATGGATGTCTGAATAGCTTCCCAGGAGGTGAGCCCTTTCCAGGTACCCAACTAATGGGCCCAGTGGATGACAGGGATAGTGGTCCCACTGGCACCTTCCACAGCCCTAGAAGCGGAGGTGCAGAGTGCCAGAGCCTAGGATCCTTACCTCCCCACACTGGCTCCTGCAGCCTGTCAAGGACAGCCCTCACACCGCTTCTCTAGTGGCTTTTCATAAGCTGTTGCAGAAGATACAGAATTGTTTTCTGCCCTCCATGTGGATGGTCTAAGCTCCTCATTTCATCCTCCCTGGGCACTGTCGGGGATGGAAGATGGCTTCTTCATACAGCCCCCCAGCCGGTCCAGTGGATGCTCCTTGTCTCCGTATGAGCCAGGCTGCTCATCTCTCTGTCCTGTGGCCCAGTATGGAGGGTGCATTGGCTTGGGGCTGAGGTCTAAGTAACTTCTGTTCCAGGGCTGCTACGGTAGGGTGGGCCAGCACCCCTCAGTAGGCATCAGGAGCTGGCAGGAAGCACCCACAGGAACAGGCTCTGGACATCCCGCCATGGTCCCTGTGATGGGAAGCCAAGGTCCCCAAACCTCATAGTGCTCATACTGCAGCCAGGCCCCATGCTGCAGAAAGAGAAGGCAGTGTCACTTGCAGCCTTGGCCCATTCTACGCAGGAATTTCTCTAGGGGTTTGACTACTGGGACCCATTTGGGAGCCTGCTAACTCCTCTCAGGTTCCTGAGGTTTTGTACCAGAGATGGGCTTCTCAGTGCTTGTCCACTCATCACTCCCTCCCTGTCGTCCATGCCTCCCCTGCACCATGACTGGAGCCCCAGTGGTCATCAGGTGCCATGCTAGTTACCAGGACACCGCAGGGAACCAGATTGTGGAGCTGGCTATGGACAGAGGTTGCCCAGTGCTGCAGCAGGTTAGGTGTAGGCTGAGGGAGAGAAGAAGAAGATTCTTGCCAGAGAAAGTGCTCTGGCTGAGGTGGCAGGGACCTGGGCACCCTAGGAGCTACAGATGATCCAGCAGAGCTGCTGGGGAGAGGATGTCAAAGGATGGAGCCGTGCTGACACCTTTCTGCTGGCAGCAGCTGCCAGAGTTCCACCATAGTCCCCTTTGACCCAGTGATTCCACCTATAAGAGTTGGTCACGTGGCTGGGTCACTGCCTGTGCAGAGAGATGTGTGCTTGTCCTAAGTGCCACCATAGGGGACAGACCCAGGAGATGTGTATAGCACAGCCATACAGAAGAGGAGTCTACCAAACCATACAGACATCCTTGACTAGGCAGAGTGTTGGCATGGTGGCAGGTCCCAGGGGACCTCAGGCAGACTGTCCCTGAGCTCTACCCACGGCAGCCCTCATAGCCTGTTCCTGCCTGTCATACAGGGCATCTGGCGGATCCCCGTGGATGAGATTGACCGGCCAGGCAGCTTCGCCTGGCACATGAACCGCTCCATTGTACTGCTGCTCAAGGTGCTGGCCCAGCTGCGGGACCACAGCACCCTGCTGAAGGTTTCCTCCATGCTGCAGCGGACCCCGGACCAGGGCAAGTGAGTGAGCTGCCTGTGCACACAGCCTGGCACATGGCCACCCAGGACCCTGTCTCCACTGCTCCACCCTAGCTCTGCTGTCGGGGAGCTCCAGCCGGCCTTTTCCCTTCAGGGTATTCTGTCTCAGTGTCTAGCACCGAATGGACACCACTCCTGGGTCCTAGCACCTGGAGCCAGCACAGGTTCTCCCCGTTGACTTTGGTTTCCACATCCAGGCTCTGGACAACCCAGCCTTCCTTTTCCCCTCACTTCTCCCCGAGCCTGACGTTCTCAGAGGTTCTGCCAGGTCATGGGGCAAACAAATGTTCAGATCATAGCTGTGTAGCCCAGGTGAGGGCCAGTGAGAACTAGAAGGGCAGCAGAGGCCTGGGCCTCAACACAAACCAAGAATCCTTCCCCTAGAAGGTGGAACAGACAGAACAGAGGGGCACCCACTGCAGCTGCTACATAGAAGGGTGATGAGCCTCACAGAAGATGCAGCTCACTGGTGGACTGGACTGCAGTAGAGTCTGAAGCTGAGTCGGCCGTCCACTTGTGCCTGCCCTGCATCACTTTCTCGTAGTCTGGTTCACCTGTTCCATGCCATGAGCTCAGAGAGGGCTCAGCTAGTCCCAGGGCACCCCTGGAGACAGGCCTGCACCCCTACCCAGCCTTCCCTATGGCAGCACACAAGGCTGACCCACCGTGTCTGTACCCTTGGGGTTTGTGGCCAGCCCAGGGGGCCCAGGACAGCCAGGTACAGTCAGAGACGTGTTGAAAGTGAAGGGTGAGATTCAAGAAAGACTTTTGGGGAGCAGACCTCAGTAGGTGGAAGGAAGGGACAAACAGACATGCTTGGGGAAGGAACAGGCCCAAGGGAGGAATAAGACACTCAGCAGCACTACGCAGTGTCTGACACACCCCTGTCCTTTCTGGCCACCCCTGTGTGACCACAGGAAGTATTTGCGAGATGCTGACCGCCAGGTCTTGGCACAGCGGGCCTTCATCCTCACTGTGAAGGTGCTGGAGGACACGCTAAGCGAGCTTGCAGAGGTATGTAGCCTGCCACCCCTCTCCTCCAACCTGTGACCATGCTCCCAGCCCTCCCCCAAGTGGTGGTCCTGATCCCTTAGACAGGTCCCTGTGTCCCCATCTGTGAAGTAGCACTCACTCATCCTGCCCCACACGGGGAATACCACCCATCCTAGCCAGTGAACATGCAACCACTTGGTGAGGCCCCAGCACTCTTTGTGATTAATGTAGGAGGTGAAAACCCTCTATGCAGCTGAGCCCGTTTACTGCACCTTTAGTGCATGGGTTCCAGAGCCCTCCCCATAAGTGGGCTGAGCAAGGCTCCTGAGAGCATCCTCCTCCCTTTGTACCCTCCAGGCAGGTACAGCAGCGCCCCCACTTCATAGCCGAGCACCTGAGGTCTAGAAGTTTAAGAAACCTGCCTAGCAGCTGGTGCTGTTGGGAGCTGAGCAAGCTGGGAGCTGAACTAGGACTGGTGTCTCTGCAGCCCATGCCTAGAAGGGCTGGCTGGGCCTCGATGCAGGTGCCCAGGATGGTGCCACAAGCACACCTTGTGGCTCCAGGCAGGTTTACTTTCCATGAAACACCCCAAAGTTCGCATCACAAAGCCACAGGTGAGCCAAGAGGACTCACTCGGCAAATAAGAGTCCACTGACTTGTCAGATTATTTGGGTAGGTCATGGGGCAGCCTGGTGTGTGTAGGAGGTAAGGTCTCTGGGCCTGGCGTCCTTCTCTGATGATGAGTGACACATAGTGCCTGCTGGCTAGCAGATGTCCAGAGCCACAGTGGCATTGGGTGGGAGAGGGAACCCAGAAGTGCTTTGTTGCAATGGGGACACCAGTGTATTATCTTTGGTTTCCTTGTAGGGATCAGAACGCCCAGGGCCCAAGGCCTGTGGCATCCCTGGAGCCAGGATGACCACTGACGTCTCACACAAGACCAGCCCTGAGGATGGCCAGGAGAGCCTCCCTAACCCCAAGAAGACTCCTCTGGCTGATGGTTCAGACCCAGAGCCTGAACCAGGGGCCAAAGTGGGCTCCCTCAACCACCGGCCTATGGCCATGGACGCAGGAGACAGAGCAGACCAGGGCGGGGAGCGGAAGGACAAGGAGAGTCCTCGAACAGGGCCCACTGAGCCCATGGACACAGGCGAGGCTGCCATTCGCTGCCCAGACTTGGAACGGACACTGCCCCTACCGCCAGGCCGCCCTCTGAGGGATCAGGGTCCTGAGAGCCGGCCTGCTGAGCTGTCCCTGGAGGAGCTAAGCATCAGTGCCCGGCAGCAGCCCACTCCACTCACATCAGCCCCAGTAGCACCCACTGCCAACACTAGCCCCACCACTGCCTCCGGGGCCAAGGGCGGCAGCCACCCCGAGGAGCCACCCCCACGGCACAGCCGCAAGAGGAAGCTCTTGGAGGACACGGAGTCCGGCAAGACACTCCTGCTGGATGCCTACCGCGTGTGGCAGCAGGGCCAGAAGGGTGTGGCCTATGACCTGGGCCGAATCGAGAGGATCATGTCAGAGACCTACATGCTCATCAAGCAGGTGAGCAGTGAAATTCCCTCAGGGCTGTGTGCCGGTCTACACACTCTGACTCTGTCTGGCCTTCTGTCCGGGAAGCTCCTTCCTGGGTGTGCAGATGTGCCAGGACCTGCCCCTAGGGTGGGTTTTAGGTATCATGACCACTGCATCCCCACTGTACACCGGGGTGAGGGTGAGGTGTTTTGTTTGTCTGTTTGTTTGAGGTTTTCTATAATGAAGCAGGCTAAAACAATGAGCTTTAAAATGTTCGAACTCGACCTTAAAGGAAAATGAAATCTTATTGTTGATCCAGCCCAGGGAGTTGGGACACCTGTGAAGGGGCCTCTGGATGTGCTTGGACCATGCCCTTAATCTGAGACCTGTTAGGGCTACAGTGTCTTGAGTGTGACCAGAGAAGCTGTTGCTCTTCTCATTTTGCCTTCCTCCCCACACCCTAGTAATGGATATTGAACCAAGCCTTTTGCATTGAGCAACATCTCCAATTTTTTTTTTTTTCTATCTTCTAGAAAATTTTTTAGTTTTTGAGACAGGGTCTTGCTATGTGGTTCAGACTAGCCGTGAACTTACTATGGAACCCAGGCTGGCCTTGAACTCCCAGCAGCCCTCCCACCTCAGCCTCAGGAGTGCTGGGATAACAGGTGTGTGGCATCGTGCCCAGCTTCCCTTTTTATTTTTTGAGACAGGGTCTCACTAAATTGCACAGGCTGGACTTGAACTTGAGCTTCTCCTTCAGCCTATTGGAGTGCTGGGATTACAGGTGTGCACCACAATGCCCAGCTTTTTTTTTTTTTTTTTTTTTTTTTTTTTTT